ACTCCACAGGATCACTTGTGGGAGTTCTGTAGTTTTTTAAATAGTATTTTTACTAGTATTTTATAACTTAACCCCACCCACTAAGTGCCGTGGGGTTAGGTTAACCTCTTAAGCCCCAACGCCCCCTGATACGGGGTCAAAAGGCAGGAGATCAGTTAGGCTTGGGGCTTAAGAGGTTAACTGGTCATTCAAAAAAGCTCACATAACTGTGCGTAGTTAAATCTCATTCATTTCCACCATCATCTCATGAAAACGGATGTTTTTATAAAAAATTTTTTCCACAACTGATTTTCCTATTTTAAAAGTGACAGTTCTCCTGTTTACCTGACAAAGAGGCTCCGCTCATGCTTTCCGCTGCCATGGCCAGGAGATGAGCAAAGTTGGCACTGTCATTAGTGTAGCAGCTGTCCACGGAGCTGATGAGGCTGGTTCGGGCACTGGACAGGTTGCTGTCCATGACTGAGCTGATCGTGTTCCACAGAGAGCTGTCCCATTCGCTGTAGCAGGAGGAAGGCGAGCTCTGACGGCAGGCATGACGGAGGCTATTTAATGGAGGTTCGGGCTCAGTGAAGGCGTCGTGCACCTGAGCAGAGCGAGTCGGCCCGCAGATGTAATTCAGCGTCGAGGCAAAATGATGGGACAGGGAAGGACGCTGCTCTGGCAGGGCACTGCTGACACAAAGGAGCAGAATGGTCAGCTACAGTAACTGTGCATGCATCTGTATGTAGGCTGCATACAGGAGAAACTAAGCCGATATGCAGAATAATATCATGGAATAGTCATTATAGTGTTCACCTCTGCTCAGTGCTGACTGTAAATGGATTCATTATTGCTTTACCTCCATCTCTCTGGTTTAGGAGTGAGCTCCAGGTACTCGGCAGCTTCCTGTGCTGTCAGCATGCTGCCCTGTTCATTACTCTGTGATACAGAAGATAATGCAGTGGACAGGTGGCTGTAGGATGGGAAGCTGTTCTTGTTGCTGGGTCCCAGTTGTCCATGGGGGCCTGATGCAGGACACACTGACTGAAGAGAGCCCATGTCCATTGTTAGCTTTGTGGAACGACTAGAGCTGAGGGACACGCAAACACACTGTAAGACTTGTGTCTTTTTTTTTTTTTCTGTCAAAAAACCTTTAGAAATACAGGAAACCACTGTATACATCACACTGTATAAATGGTATCACTGATTTTTATGCTTTCTTCTCACATTTTGTTAAACATAACGTAACACAAGCTTAACAAAATATATCATGTAAGACTTAATGTATGATTTTATTGAGGTTAGAAGTGTTCGTAGCTGCAATTCATAGTCACAGGAAGTTTTTTTTTACATAAAATATATTTATGAAAATGTGAAATGGCATTAGATAGCTAAGTTAATACAGTGAACCACCATTTGTTCATAAAAATTGTTGTTGCTATCTTTATCTCCTTTATTTAATCAATTCGCAAACATATATATATAAAGTGAGGTTTGCTACATAACAGAACTACAGTATATAAGAGTTCAGTTGTCCTGCTGAGGTCAGACACAAACACTATTCATGCCAATAAGCTT